AAGGGATCTCTGAATTCCAACCCCCCATTCAGCTTGTTTCTACTGATATGATCCCACCCAATCCAATTCACTTTTCTTCTTTCCTCAAAAAGAACCCCACTAAAACTATGACTAATCCTTAATATGGTGCTTAATGATGTCAACGGGTTTGAGACATTTTAGTTGGAAAACTGTTCCAACTTCCAAAGTTAGGGCCCCTAACTTAGGGGTCCAGGAGGACCTCAATCTTTTTGGATGCCACCAGATTGGGGTGTTTTAAAATGGAATGTTGATGGTGCTTTTGTCTCGCCCAATAAAACTTTTTGTGGGTTGTAGGTGTCAAGGATGTTGTCTTTTCTCCAGTTTTGGGTGAAACTCATGCTCTTTTTAAAACACCTAAGGTGGTAGATAATTTAAGATGGCATCTAAAAAAGCTTTGGGTCCATATGGGTTCCCAAACTTATTTTTCCAAAAATATTGGGAAGTGGTTAAGGATGATGTAATCCAAAAAATCCAAAAGTTTTTTAAGGAAGGAGTTCTAAACAATGACTTAAACAATACTTACATAACTCTTATTCCTAAAGTAAATAACCCTGAAAAGGTCTCTCATTTTAGGCCAATAAGCTTATGCAATACAGATTATAAAATAATAGCAAAGATTCAGACCAATGGACTGAAACCTCTCTTAAACGGTTTAATTTCCAAAAACCAAAGTGCTTTCATTCCAAACAGAGCTATCTCTAATAACATTCTTATAGCTCATGAGGTAATGCACCACATGAAAACATCTAAAGCTAAGGGAGGCATCATGGCTATCAAGCTTGACATGAGTAAAGCCTATGATAGGGTTGAATGGGTTTTCTTGGAAAATACTATGAAAAAGTTAGGTTTTAGTGAAAAATGGATCCAATGGGTAACGACATGTGTCACTTTAGTGACCTACTAGATCCTTGTGAATGGCTCCCCATCAAAGAAAATCTATCCCCATCAGGGTCTAAGGCAAGGAGAACCCTTTTTCTCCCTATCTATTTTTAATTTGCTCAGATATCTTCTCTTCCATCTTAAATAAAAAATTAGGCACAAATGAGTTGATTGAGATTAAAATATGTAGACAAGCTCCAATTATATCCCATTTATTTTTTGCAGATGATAGTTACATGTTCTTAAAAGCGGATTTTAGAAAAGCAGGTACTCTTCTGTATGTCATTTCCATCTATGAAAGGGCCTCAAGACAACAGGTGAACTACAATAAATTTGAAGTCTTCTTTAGTCCAAATTTGCATCCTATATTAAAAAAGATGATTTCTTGTTGTCTCCATATTAAAAAAGTGGAAAAACCTTCAATTTATCTAGGAGCATACCCACTAATTGGCAAGAAGAAAAGCCAGGTGTTTGCTTATCTTACTGAGAGAGTGGAAAATAAGGCAAAAAGCTGGAAAGAATATTTCCTTAATTCAATTGGGAAGGAGGTCCTTCTAAAGTCGGTCCTTACAACCCTTCCAACCTATTTTATGTCAAACTTTCTAATTCCAAAAGAGGCTTGCAATTCTATCTCAAAAGCCCAAAGGAAATTTTGGTGGGGAGATAAGGAAGGACAAAAGAAAGTAAAATGGACTCAATGGAGCCAAATTTGTAAAAACAAATCAAATGGGGGTCTTGACTTCAGAGACCCTCACTCTTTCAATCTAGCTCTACTAGCAAAATTAGCCTAGAGACTCTGTTAAGATGTAAGTAGTCTTCGGTCAAAGATTCCAAAGTCAAAATACTTCCCAAATACCCATTTCCTGCAAGATACAAACAAAAGTGAGAAGTAAACCCTCATGGGGTTGGAGAAGTGTTTTGGAAGGAAGGAATATCCTTAAAAGGGGTATTATGTGAAAAGTTAGCAAAGGAGACAAGGTGAGAGTTTGGGAGGACCCTTGGATTCTCAAACTAGAAAGTTTTAGGCCAATGGGACCCAAGAATGAAGGGGATCAAAATCTTATGGTTGAGGATCTCATTGACCATGAAAATAGATGTAGGAATAGAAGGAAAATTTTGAATATGTTCCTCCCACCTGTAGCTCAAAAAATTATGGAAATTGACCTCTCTCACTTACCGTGGGAGAATAAACTAATTTGGGTGAGGAGCAAGAATGGCAAGTTTTTTGCCAAATCATCCTATTTCCTAGCCCTTCAAATTCAGAAAGGGGATCAACATATCCCCTCCTCATTTGCTATGGACATAAATGTTTGGAAACAAATATGGGATTTTCCTATAAAGCCAAAAATAAAAAATTTTCTTTGGAAATGTATGCTCAATGTTGTGCCAACTAGAGAAAACCTTTTTCAAGAGACATTGTTTCCTCTAACTTCTGTGATAGATATAAAAATAACCATAATTGATTCTACACACCTTGTTGTTGTGTGATAAGGCCAGATGTGTGTGGCTTGGTTCAGGCATGGGAGTAAATCCAGAATTTACAAGAAACCTTAGTGGCTCTGAGAAGTGGTTCAAAAACAACATTACATCTCTTGAGAAAAATAACTTGGCCCAAATCGCGAACATTTCTATTGCTTTATGGGAAATTTGGAAAGATAATAATACCTTTGTTTTTGAAAATAATGAAGTAAATCTCTGTACTATTTTATTTGCTATTCGTAGGTCAATAGTGAAGAAATCTCAATTCTGGCTTCAGAAATTGGGAAATTGTTCAAAAGCTAAAAAGGTGACCCAGTCTTTTTGGGCCCCTCCATATCAAGGATGGATAAAGATAAACACTAATGGAGGTTTTTGCAACATGCAGAGGACTTCTTTTGGTTTTGTGGTTTGAGATGCAGATGGATATGTTTGGGGATCTGGTTTTGGTTAGTTTATTGCATATTCTCCCCTTGTGGTTGAAGCAAAAGCCCTTTTGGAAGTAGGTTTTTTTTTTTGTGTGTGTGTGTGCATCTGGGTGATTGAGAATGATATGAATTCAGTGATTTTTGAATTTGCTCTATTTTAGTCGATAGTCTTCTGGGAAGACATTAAAGCTTTGTCGGTTGGCAAAACTTTTAAATTCCGCAAGTGCCTTAGAGAAGCAAATGTTGTAGCTCATGCTGCAACAAAATTTGGACTAACTAATCGGTTTAGATGCTAGTTAGCAATTGCTAGATGTTTGTCCTCTATTTTTTACTATGAGCCTAGAATGATGCTTAGTTTTTTTTTTGTCTTTGTTTGTTTGTTCGGGGTTGTTTTCATGTTGTTTCCCTCTGTGTTGTTTTCTTTCATTTCCTGTTGTTGTTTTCTTGGTCGTTTCTGGCCCTTTAATGAATTGTTATTAACCCCCCCCCCCAAAAAAAAAGTGGTAGGTAATTCAAATTCTGACAATGTCATTTTTGAATAGGCCATGTTTGGGAGTGCTTAAGTTAAAAATAAGTGCTTATTCAAATAAGCACTTATTTGAATTTGGCACCCAACATTTTCAAGCACTTATTTTAGGGTAAAATACAAAAACCTCCTCTAAAGTTTTTAACAATCATAAGAACCTCCCCTATAGTTTCACTTTATTAAATCCTCCCCTAAACTTTTAAAGAACTCTACAAAAACCTCCCTTCCGTCACTAACTCAGACGAAAAAACCATTAAAATTACAAGAGTGCCCCTGATTAATTGTTAGGAGAGGGAAGGGAAGAGTAGAGAGAAAGAGAGAGATTTGAGGAGGTCGCAGTTGCTAGTTGCCGAAACTGTTCAATGCCGATGTGAAGAAGATGAACAGTGCCTTTCAGTTACTCTGGCTTGAAGGAAGAGAGGAGGGACAATGGGGACGAAGAAGATAGATGGAGAAAGAAGAAATCAAGGACAAAAACCAATGAGGGGAGATTGGGGGAAGGATTTCTTGTTGTTCCCTCGTTCAGTGACAAGAGGAAGGGGAAGCAAGGGCAATTCCGTCTGAGTTAGTGATGGAAGGGAGGTTTTTGTCGAATTCTTTAAAAATTCAAGGGAGGTATTAAAGTGAAATTATAGGAGAGGTTTTTATAATTGTAAGAAACTTCAAGGGAGGTTTTTATATTTTACCCCTTTTTTATATTGGGCGTTTGGTAGTCTTTTTCTCTAATAAGCACTTAAATAAGCAATTGTGACTATTTTGTCCTTCATTTTCTTTCAAATTTTCAAAATATACCCTTTGAAAGCACTTATTAAATTATTTTCTTTTATGAAAGTACTTTTATAAAAATACTTTTACAAAATCACTTTTATAAAAGCACTTTATTTATAAAATTACTTTCACAAAAGTGCTTTTATGAAAGTACTTTCATGCTTTTGTAAAAGTACTTTTATAAAATTTAAATATGGATAATTTTATGTGGTACTTTAAAATTCAACTAGGGATAATTTTGGAAGAAAAAAATTGAATAAGTGCTTATTGTATAAGCACTAAAAAAAACTAAAAATTTGGGCTTAAAAAATGAACCCTTACTTTTAAAATAAATACTTATTTTAAACTTATTTCCCAAGTATTTAATAACTCAAATAAGAATTTATTTTGAATAAACACTAATTTTTAAGCACTGTCAAACATGCGTTAGATGGCTAGAGCTCGAAGTCAATTTGACCATTGCAAATACAGATGCAGAATCAGGGTTGGGTATTTATGCATCTATTTTTCAGGGAAATAACTTCTGTAAGAGGGTTTAAAATGTCCAAATAGATGAAAACGATTAGGGTTTAAGGCTTGTAAGAATTTCGTATTGAACGCACAGACCGAACATCCCTTACTCCAAGTTTGGAAGTATTTAAAAATAAATGCTTAAAATAATTATTTTGGGTTTGTGTGTGGGAAATAAACCCAAAATAAGTGTTTGGATAATCCCAAATGTCCAGCCTTCTTTTAATGTTATTAGAATATTTTTCTTCCAAAACTATCTCATTTATGTTTTAAAATTCCATTTATGCCCTTCGAATGTAAAAACGCAGGGTTTTGCCAATCGAGGGTTTCTTCTCTACTAACTTCTGCAACCAGCGGCCGAACTTTCTCCTTTGCCAATTAATCTGGTAATGTATCTTCTGGTTTCTTATTTTCTTCTTTCGTATTTTTCATTAGGCTGCGTTTGGAAGGAGTATAAATTCCGGTTAAGTGCATTATTGTACTCCGGTTCAGAATTGAATGTGTTTGAAAACAGTGTAAAAAAACCTCTATTATCGTCTTATCGATGAAAATTTGCAAACACCCGATGATTTACATCGATTTAGCGGTGGAAAACTACATGCTTTTTTCGAACTAAAAAATCACGCCCTATTTCATCGAGGGAAATAGAAGAGGAGTTTACGCTCTTCCACCGGCACGGCACTCTGAGATCTGAGCAACGACTATTATTCTCAGATTTGAGATCTGAGGAGTTCGAAACATCCACCAACAGCCTTGAGAAGTCCGAGCGTCAGCGTTTAGCGTTGAGATCTGAACAACGAACCTCTTCTCTGTTGAAGTCTGCGTTTAAGCTGGTGAGAGAACAACGAACCTTTTCATTTCTCCATCCGATTTACTGAACAGATATTGATGTAGTGTTATTTTGTTCTTTTATTTAGTTTTTCTCTTGTTCAAAGCTCCTGACCATCATCGTTTTTAGAACGTAAAAGTGAAAGTAAAATTTCTCCTGTACCTGATTTTCATTTTCAAATACTGCTGCAAGATTTCTCCTGTACCTGATTTCTTTCAAACACTAATTGCATACCCTATTGACATATTACTGGCTCATGTCTCCTAGACCCATCATCTGTTCACACTGGTTGAAATCTTCTTCATATCATCAATTCGTCCTCAATTACATTTTTGGGTTAGGATCTGTTCACACTGGTTGAAATCTTCTTCGTATCATCAATTCGTCCTCAAGTTGATGAGTGATATGGAGAGGAATTGTAGTCTAACCTTGTCGTGCATCGAATTGATCTTGTATATCACCTGAGATGGAGCAGGGAATGGGCTGCCCCCCAAAATAAATAAATAAAAATTCCCCTTTCACTATGGATGTGACTAAGTTGCCTTGAGGGACACAATGAGTAACAAGATATCCAACTCCCACATTTTTCTTGTACAAAATGATAGTCTAACTCAGTGTATTTTGTCCTGCAGTTTTTTTTTGCAAACTTTATGCCAATACCATGCAAAATTCTTGGAAGTAGAGTTACTTATAGTTAATACAATGCCATTTACACAGAGTTATAGAAGAATGGTACATTTAGGGGATAGTATAAAATGAACAACATCATGTAAATTACAAAAGAAGTCTAACTAGCTTACATATAACAAATGAGTAGAAAATCTGTGAAACCAAGATTTGGAGTTTTTATATATGTTTGGCATTTGCAAACATAATGCAATATTTTGCATCTTGAAAGCCTGATGTTTTTTTTCCCACATGTACACTAGCTCCTTGAGAAATCTATGAAGATGTGCATCTTTTTTATGTCTAAATTGTTAGATTTCCCATTTGAGAATGAAAGCAATTGTCAGAACTAGCTATATCATTTGTGCATAAAGCAGGGTTGAAAGTTTTTTAGAAGTCGACATCTTGCACTTGGTTAAACCAATTAGCAAAAATACATGCTTTAAGGTCCTCTAATGACTCATATACTTTCAATTTCATTTTGGCATACATACACTACCAACAGTATTCATGCCAGAAAGTACAAGGAACCATGTCTAAGTAGATTAATCATTTAAAATCTGTAACTTTTCTTTCATTGCTGCTAGAAAATTTGGATGTTTAAAAGCTGATCTAACTGTTTTAGATTCAACAAAAAAAGTTGGCTATTGGAACTAGGAATTCTGTTTTCAAATGGTGGTATCCACTGCCACCATTTTTGGTGGATTGAAAAAGTCTGCAACAGAAAAGATACCTCCTGCCATTCTATTACAATGTTGTAGTTATTCTGTTTTCTTATTCACTCTGATAACATCACATAGGAGAACCTTGAAAATATCATTTTATTCTCTTGGATCAACTTCTCAAATTTAGAAAGCCTTTGTAAATTTTAAAATTGTCATTCATGTAGAGCTTCCATAATACCCTTTCCCAACCTGATGAAATTTTGTTAATAGAAAGTAAGGTGAAAAGTTATTTTTGTAAATTCAGAAAACACATTGAAAACAAGATCTACTAATAGTCTAGTACCTTAGCTGATTCTTTAGAAAGAAGTAGATTGGGGAGATGCCTTACCTCATTGTTGTACTTTGAATTCTTTTATATACTTTCTCCTTCTAAGTTTGTTCAGTTCATTTAGCTATTTTATTCCCATGCTTTTAGTCTTGACTACATAACAGGGGTTCCCCTTGATAATAAATAAAATGTAATCATTACTGATAGAAAAGCAATGAAGTTAAAGAAAGAGTAACCATTTGGATAGATATTCCACTGCAAATTCCTAGATTTCACAAACTTCAAGGCATATGGATGGCTAAAGTGGAGGTTGTTCAGCTACTTGTTCTCATCTCAATTTTCTTTTTTAGCTTTGGACCAACTCTATGTTTTTACTTTAAAACATTCCATATAAGACAAAAGTGTCCTTTTCCTTCTTTTATCAAATGTCATTCCTTCTATTGTAGAATAATTGAACCCATTTTTGTTGCATAATATTGGCTATATGTTTCTGAGATGAAGTACTAAAAGTCTGTTTAGTTTGCAATCGGAATTAGAATCAAAATCCTCCCAAATTTGTATCAGAATGATCCATTCTCATAGTCTGTTTGGTTCAGACAGGAATGCGAATGGGAATTGAAATCAGCAGGAATGGGATTTCATTCCCAAGGGAGGGGCAGAGAATAGCAATTCATTCAAATGGGGGAATGCCATTCCAGATGGAATCGGAATAGCCCATTCTAACAAAAGTCATTAAAAAAAAGACCTTGGTCTCCATGATTGCAAAGGTGGAAAGACATCTGCAGTAAGCAGGTCCTATCAATCATAAATTCCCACAGTTTTTGTGCTAATGTCTTAATTAATAACTCATTTCAGTTGACATATGGAAACAAGATTTTTGTGGCTAAACAAGGCTATATTACCCAGCCCTGGTCCTAGCTATCCATGGTCTTGGGAGAGGATGATGTTATTAACCTCTGACAACTTTTGTATGAAGTGGCTACTCTCAGACATGAACCTACACTTTCAAGCTTATCATCTGAGATTTTACCATCTCACTAAACTTACCTGCCTTTCAATCATCTGAATTCTTCATGTTTACTATGAATCTGATCTGTGTTTGTTTTGCACATAAAACAAAAGAAAATGAATGATAAACTTGGAAAACAATATTCAAAGGGAAATTGAATCATTTTCCTAATTTTTCTGGTGTTTGGATTAACTTGGAAAATATGCTAGATAAATATATAGATGTTGCAACATTTGAATTGAGATGACGAACCCTTTGTTTAGAAAAATGACTTTAGAGAAAAATTAGAAGGAATGTAGTGGGGTGGCTGAAGAAATACAGTACTGGTTCGTGGAAGTACAATAAGTACAAAGGGAGGTAAACATCTGGTTGGGATGAAAGCCTCCCCTCTAGTTACTGAAGCTAAAGCCTTTTTGGAAGCACTGAGATTTGCAATTTCACAAGACTTGAAGAATGTTTGTTTTGAGTCTAATAATAGCCTTCACTAATTCAGAGCGTAACAGGGGAGGAGTCTAATATTGATCATGAAATCCTTTTTGTCTGTAAGGATATTAGGAAGTTGCCTAATAAGAATGTTTGTTTTCTTATTTTGTATTATTTTATAGGGTTATTGTTGTGTATATACCATTTACAAAATATAAGATTCAGAAATGTGAACTTAACTAGCTCTGATGTGAACTTAACTAGCTGTTGGAATAAAATTCAGTTGGCTGTGTGGCAAGGAAAATACAATATGTTTCAGTTGGCTGTGGAAATTTCAGTGAATATTTTTGTGGAATTTCTGTAGTTTTTTTTGTGGAATTTCAGTACATTTTCTATGTGAAATTCCAATGAATTTTTATGTGAAATTTCAATGAATTTTTATGTGAAAATTCAGTGAATTTTCTGTGCAATTTCAATAAATTTCAGTGATATTCATACAAATTGGGATATAAACTGGTCATTGGGCCAATGACCAGCTTAATATTTATTATTATATAGCTGGCCTCTGCATATGTGGCAAAAGATGCAGATGTCTCATCTGCATGTAGGACAGATGAGAGATTGTGGCTGATCAATCAATGAACACCGGTTGGTGGGCTTCATGTGAGAAAAGCAGGTGAGAGATTGTGGGCTTCATGTGAGTAAATAGTCAAGTACACCGGTTGACACCAAATGGTCAATTAATTTTCAAAACCGGGTGACACAAGTCTACAAAGTATTTTTTACATCGGTTAAGTATCCAAATGGTAGCAAAAGCACACACCTTTGTTTTGTATCTCGTGCCAAACATGAAGAGCGTAAGTCAAGCATGCAAAAACAAACTGTTTTACATTTTTCTGAACCGGTGAAATGCAATTTTATACACTGCAAATTTGCATTTACACTCCTTCCAAACGCAGCCTTACTGAGCAATCGATCCAACAGTTTTTTATTTTCGTTTTTTTCACTGTTTCATTCTGTTATTCTCCTTCATCTGCTCACTGTACTAGCGGCGGAAATCTACTGCTCTCTAGTCAACCAGGTAATATATGATCCCCCTTTTTTGTTCATTTACCCATCCTCGATTGATCAACATTTTCGTTTTTTCTTTATCGTTTTGTTCTGCGGATCAACCTTAATATATGTTTTCCTCTGTTTCAGGTTGGGGTTTCTCGACTTTGAGTCGGAACTGCGTCCAGGTTGGTTAAATATTGGTTTTTTGAATTTCATTTTGCCCTAAATCATTTATTTGGTGTGACTCTCTCGAATCTCTGTGATTTTGCCATAAATCCAACCTTTCAATCTTTAGCATTGTAATGATTTGAATGAAGCTGAACCCAAACACAGCTTGGAATGAGGCTGAACCCAAAATCACTTGTTAATCTCTGTGATTTTGCCCTAAATTATTTCAAGTTGTGTTTGATGGTTATCCCAAACATTCAGATCCGAGTTCAAATGAGGCTGAACCCCAACTCCCTCATCTTCCTTTAGAGCACAACTACCGACTAACCCAATCAGGTCTGATATGTAACAAGTTTGTAGCCAATACAACATGAAAGCTTTTTGATTCTTTTTTTATTTTTTCATAGCCCAAAGCTCAAAAGCAAGAGTTATCCAAATGGAGTTAATCTCTTCTCAACTCTGAAAGCTAGAAGTGGTCTGGAACTTCTGCTGCCCGCGGAATATAAATCCTAACCAAAGGAGATAACTGCCACCTGCTGGTGACTGGTTACAGCCGAAGAACAAGTGAGTGCTTTACGTCTTCTTCTTCTTCTTTAATTTGAAACAGGATTTTTTTCCTCAAAATTGCTCTTTGTTATGGTTGATTACCCAAAAAGAAAGTCACTTTACAACTGTTGAATCGAGTTACGGTAGGTGCATCTGCCCATACCATGGGCAGATTGTTCACCGCTGCTCTCCTGCTATTAGATCTCTTTCATTGTTCCCTTTCTCTCTCTCCCCCTCCTTGGGTGGAATTATTTATTCATTTATTTGGTTATTTTCTTATTTTTATCCTTGTTTTGTGATTAGTACAATGGTGGTGGATAACGGGTGATGGTGGACATTGCAGATTTGATTTACCATTGCCATTATTAGTGTTATTATTTATTAGATTCTTTTTTTTTATTTGATTTGATGAATGACTCTACTTAAAATTAATTCCTTTCTCGTTTGCATGCACTGATGATAATTGAGAAACTGGTCTATATTTCTTAGCTTAGAAACTGTTAAATATGATTATCAAAGATCATATGGTGAAGAAGAGAGGGAGGGAGGGAGAAGGTCCCTATGACGAGAAAGCAAAGACCTATAAGATTGCTCTTGTACTTTGTAAAAGAAGGTTGGGAATAGGGGCTAGATGGATTCATGTGTCTCAATGTTGCTACTGTTTTGGACTTTCTCCCCTCATTCAGATTTGGAAGAGAAAGGCTGGCTTTTCATGTTTCACACAATTTAGTTATTATAACTTAGAAGTTGGGATTTTGAAGGACTTATGTGCTTCCTTTTAGGAGAAGAGAGAGAAAGAGATTAGGGGTCTGCTTAAAACGATATATTTGAAAGTACATATAAAAAATTGATATGAAACAAATTGATTGTATTCTTAATGCATAAAATATCACAGAAGTTTTAGTATGTATAGATTATCTAATTTAGATAGAAAAACTTATAAATATGAAACAAAATATAAAATAAAGATTCAAAAGCATAATATTCATATTAAAAAGAATATATACAGTAAAAAAATATGTAGATTGGCTATAAAAAGAAATAAATTATATATATATAAACATACACACATTTACATATTTTGTAAATACCTTGTGTATTGTATATTTGTATTTATATATGTATAAAAACTAAAAAATTAAACATAGAGCTTGAGGTCTACACCTTGCCCCATTGACACTCAACCACCTCACCTCTGCCTTTTAAAGCCTTGATTTGAATGATCAACAGTCCTGATTTTCTTGCTTTAGGATTTTTTTTTTCAAAGCTAAATGCATTTCTTTTCTATTTTTTGGGTAATAATTCATTTCAATATTTAAGCCTAGGGGTAATGTGGAAAATTAATCTGCAACAAAACCAAAAATTCTTTGTGAAACCTAATGCTTGTGGATATTGACACATTAAAGTATAGAAGAATACTGTTAAACACAAGTACACATTTAGAAGACTTCAATCACACCAGCCGTGCCAGGGGTGTGGTTCCAGTTCATTCAGAAAATGACCTAGATCTGTTGGGTCAGTGACTCAGTGCTAGCTTAGTGAAAGGAGTTGTTTGTGCTTCCTTTTGTGGCTCTGTTTAGCTAAATTTGTGGTCCCACTGCCCTTTCATTGATAAAATATAGGAAGTCATTGGGAACATGAGATTAAGGATAAAAAATAAACAACATAGAAGACAGGCAATAACTATGCATCACTTGTCTCTTAAAAACCACACTGAGATCAACCTAGTATAGTTTGCTGGAATTTGAACTAAATGATTTTCTTTTTTTTTTAAGAAAGGTTAACTAAGTTTTATTAAAAGTTAACAATTTTGTTGTTAAATACTATGACCAATCTTGATACTCTTATGGTGATGTTCATTCCAAATTCCAAAGCCAAAGTGTTGTTAGTGGTTTTAACATATTATACATGTAATTTTCTTATGTAAGTATAATTTCTGTAAATTGCTAAGTGGAAACCCATCTTAATTGCTAAGGCAAGGACATGGTGGAAATTGTAGTACAGATAAGCCCTTTTCTGCTTTCTAATGGCCAAACAATATTGCATAAGGGATTTTTTGCACAAAAAGCAGGTGGAAAAAGCACCTTCCTAAACACTTAAAAAGCACTTTTTAAACGATCGCTTTTTCAAAAAGCTGGTTTTGTAGAAGTCCATTTAGGAGAAAAGCACTCCCAAATGTGACCTAAGCATATCTGCATTTGTAAAATCGAGCTTAATTTGAACTACTCCAAAATAGGGCTTGGAGTTCAGATTTTTTATTCAAGAGTTTGATTTATGAAAACTTTTTTTATTGGTATGATTAATAGTAAAACATTTCCATTTTGCAAGAAGTTTCGAGTTTGCATTTTATGGGTTATGGTGTCAGCTACATGAATCCTATTCCACCATTCTGTCCTGTTCAGTACCATATCCATTTTACAATTGTTGGTCCTTAAATCATTTCTCACTATTTCAACCCATGTCCCTTTTGGCCTGACCTTAGTTCTTCTAGCCCCTTAAAACATATAATAGATCACCTTTTTCTTACTAGTTCTGTAGAAGGTCTTCTCTACATGTGCCAAACCATCTTAGTCTACTTTCCCTCATTTTTTTGCCTATTGGAGCTGTTCCTGGGTTCCTTTAAATAGGTTTGTTTCTAAGTTCCAACCCTATCCTTTCTAGTTTCCCACACATACATTTCCACGACACTTATGACTTATTGTTTTAGACATGTTGTTTCTTGATTTTCCAAGACTTTGTTCTATACAGCATGCTGGCCTTTTAACCATTTTATAAAAATTTCCTTTTATCGTAATTGGTATTATCCTATCACATAAAATTTTGGATGCACCCCTCCATTTAGCCCATTCTGCCCTAATTTCATAGGCAACACCCTCAATCTCACCCTCGTTATGGATTATCAAACCAAGGTAATGAAACAGGTCCTAAGTATATCCTGATTTCTACTCCTATCATTATTAAATTTATATTGCATGTATTTTGAATTAGTCCTACTTATTTCAAAACCTCTTGTTTCTAAGGAATTTGTCCATGAATCTAATTTTCCATTTAATCCTTCTTTGATTTCATCAATTAATACTAGCATCATCAATGAATAGCATGCACCATGGGGCCTTCTCCTGAATACGTTTAGTCAATTCATCTGTAGTTCAAATAAATAGATTGGTTGTATTGGCAGTTTTGGACATTTCGGTTAATGTTTGAAACGTGTGGCGGTATTGGCAGTCAATTCATATAAGACTAGTAAAAGAAATTGTCAGTATTTCGTATTTATGAGCTTACTTTCTGAACCAATACCCTCTGTTGCAGACGGCAATCCCCTCATCTATGTCTTCTCTAAAAGAAATATTGACCCGCCGTCCAGTGGCAGCGACTATTCGGCTCACTGTTCCAGCTGGTGCAGCCCGACCAGCACCTCCTGTTGGCCCAGCTCTGGGTCAGTACCGGCTCAACTTAATGGCTTTCTGCAAGGACTTCAATGCTCGAACCCAGAAGTACAAGCCTGATATTCCTATGGCCGTCACTATCACAGCTTTCAAAGACAACACTTTTGAGTTTACTGTTAAGTCTCCTTCAGTGACCTGGTACCTTAAAAAGGCAGCAGGAATTGAGTCTGGTAGTAGCCGTCCTGGCCATGTCATTGCTTCAACAATAACTCTGAAACACATTTATGAGATTGCTAAGGTGAAACAGTCAGACCCTTATTGTCAGTATATGTCATTGGAAGCAATTTGCAAATCAATTATTGGAACTGCTAACACAATGGGGATCAAGGTTCAGAAGGAGCTAGATTGATTTTATGATTCTTGGGATTTATTCAGTGTTAAGATGACTGAAATTTCTTCTAATTTAGTTTCATTTTTGGAGTAACTGAGAAGTTTATATTTTTTCATGTCATCCTTTGTTGATATGTTTTACTCTTTCTTCATGTTGATCCTTAATGGTTAAAATTTAGATAGGAGTATTTGTTTATATGATGCAAGGTTTCATATGATAGATTTAACAGGACATGTGACTAAAAATTAATAAAAAGGTGGTATCCAGAAAAAGAGAAAAAAATCCAAGTAGAGCAAATGAGCCCCAAAAAAAGGCACATCCACCCATAATCCAAGTTTCACCATTAGTCTAATTGCATAAAACCTAGGGACTTGAGAGATTCTCCGGTTTCAATATTTATTAGGTTTGCCATGTGATTCCTTTGTCAGAACTTTCCATGAAGAATTTACTGTGCTGTTCATCAGGTTTAAAAATTCAGCATGAAGTTCCATTTCACATGAATCAAAGGATGATTGAGCATACATTTCCAAAGAAAGGTCAATTGCTTCTCATGCCCAGTCATAGTCATTGATCCACACAATGTCAGTCCTTGATTCTCATGGTATCAGATTATGGTGGATTTTTATTGATTGTTAAAAAGTAAGCTCTGCTCCTTGTCACAATGCACCCACTCTATTTGATGTGTTAATGAGTGCATTTTGATTTGTTGTGCTCAGTTGCTCAAGCTTCAGGTATGGATCATCCACTTGAGTCATTAAGTGTGATGCAATTACAGTGAAACTATAGGTAATATGAGTTGATAGTCATGGATGAGTCAGATGTCAGACATGGGCACATGGTACGGTTGAAAGCTGGTGAAATTAACCCGGTATATGCATTTGGATGCAGGTTGTTTCCATCTTTTTTTAGTAATTAGATGGTGCAGACCATGAACTTATAGATGTTTAGGCCACTGGTGTTATTCAAATTTACCATATGGATTACCATGGTCTGAATCTCATTTTGTTTCAGTCTATCAGTAATGGTGCACTATGTTTTTGTAAACTGTGTCAAATTTCTCATTTTGACTCCATAGGTAGATGGGGTCAATCTGTACTTGTAACTTTATGGCTAGATATTCTTATTTACAAATTTGTTTACCTCCCAATTATTTTTGATGATTTAGTCTTTTGAGATGATTGGCTTGCCTTCTAGATACCCTCCCACCCACCTACCACAAAAATTAAAAAATGAGAGGAAATGATAGACACGTAATCCTATTGTGTCAGAACAAAATTAGGGTTAATGGCTGCAATTGTTAAGAGCAGGGTGGTTGAAGTTGAGTGGTGCATACAGAGTGATGTGTGACCAGAATACAACAACGATACTGAAAGGAAAGTTCCATGAATTAATTACAAGACTAGCATTACCATATTGGACAGAGAGCTGGGCAATCAAGAATCAACATGGAAAGAACATAGCTGAGAAGTTGGGATGGATGAGTGGCAAGACCAGAAAGGACAGAATTAGAAGTGCATTAAAGAGGAGTTAGGAGTGGCTCCAATTAATGACAAGATGAGGGAGAGTCAACTTGCTTTGATCATGTGTATGGGTAACCAATGACTGCATCAGTGAGGAGTGAATTGGTATAAGTAGAAGGCTCTAAAAGAACAAAGCAAAGAGAAAAGAAAACATGGCTCTTGATAGAGAAGAATGGCAGGACTAGATTCTTGTGGCCATCTCCAAATGGTTGGCATTAAACCTGAGTTAAGTGGAGCTTCAACTGTAGATGGTTTTCAGGCAATTGTTTTATATGATCAAAGGAAAGTTCCATGAATTAATTACAAGACTAGCATTACCATATTGGACAGAGAGCTGGGCAATCAAGAATCAACATGGAAAGAACATAGCTGAGAAGTTGGGATGGATGAGTGGCAAGACCAGAAAGGACAGAATTAGAAGTGCATTAAAGAGGAGTTAGGAGTGGCTCCAATTAATGACAAGATGAGGGAGAGTCAACTTGCTTTGATCATGTGTATGGGTAACCAATGACTGCATCAGTGAGGAGTGAATTGGTATAAGTAGAAGGCTCTAAAAGAACAAAGCAAAGAGAAAAGAAAACATGGCTCTTGATAGAGAAGAATGGCAGGACTAGATTCTTGTGGCCATCTCCAAATGGTTGGCATTAAACCTGAGTTAAGTGGAGCTTCAACTGTAGATGGTTTTCAGGCAATTGTTTTATATGACATTTTGATTTGATCACATGAGAGGAAGGTCCTGTCTTTCTTATGCCCTTCTAGTACAACATCACCATCATAAGGGGATTGTCCTAAGAACTTTGGATACAAAATAAGGTATTGATATGCAACATTACTTTTGTAGGTATTGGCAGAGAACCTATACCAGCTTTACCCACAAGGCATGTCTAGTTTGTCACTGTATCATAGCTGATGGTGTGATACGAGATATGAAGGCATAGGCTGAGAGAGACGGGACTGGGAAGTGAGTATTGAACTCCACCAAGGCATTATAACGTCCAGATTCCTCTCTATACTGGCGCACCATTAGGAGCCCACTATCAGGGCTGCCCTCCCCAGCGTTACCTATATTCCTAGGCTCTGTTCTAGGAAAATGTGTTTGATTTCTTTGTCGCCAGGTAAATCCGTGCCAATTTAGTTGTCAAATCATCAGGTTCGGCATGGTGTTGGTTCAATGGATGATATAGCCATCGACATTAATAAGAAACGGTGCTGGATGATACACAAAATGGGGCCTTGGGTAATGAGTGATCTCAAAACGCATTAAACCTTCTTGAAACTCAGGGATTTGCTAGAAACCTGCAAATACAGTAATTTTCCACTGTTGCTACCAATGACTGGTGTAAGCTCCAGACTGATTATCAGGACACCATATCTCAGAAACGAGTAGAAAATTGAGAGAAGCGAGCCTTGAAATCTTTTGTTGGAGTATCAGTTCCCTCGGGCTTTGAGGCCACATCAAATGCCTTGAACTTGGATTCTTCAAACTCCAACGTCTGAGAGCAGACTTCAGCTACGTCTGCCCTGGCAATGGTTATAGTTTCAGTCTGATGAAGCTCATCATCCTTCCCAACAAGTAACTCCCAAAAACACCCATCTGTATCTTGTAAATCTCCAGCCCTGATTATTGTGTACGGTATTCCAGAATCAGCCAGATATTGCTCGAGTCTTTCTCTTCCATATCGGTATATTCCCATTCTTAATACTGTTAAAGGGATGATTGGGATTTGTTCCACCCATAGACCCAACCAAAACAATCTGCTTCACTCCTGTCCTACAGATTTGGCTGCATCTATTTGATTCTTCTGCCCAACCGAGTCGACCTGCTCAGGATAGGCTTCATTTTCAAAATAGAACTCGGGCCTCCCACCTTTTCTTGGGTCAAACGAGGCTTCATCTTTTTTTTTTGATAAATAACGAGGCTTCATCTTTGGCACAGCACTGGTTAGAATAATAAGTGCACCGATTCCTTAGATTGCAGGAATTATGCTTTCAGCACCCCGTATATCCCCTAGGGAAACATCATCTGCTCCCCCAATTTTCTCCTTATCTTCGGGAATGGGGATGATAATAATTGATAACTTGGGCCTTGGATGATCAGTCATATAAGATTTGGTTCAATACATTGCTTTCCACATTCGTCCTTGCTTCATTCTAGTATGCCGCATGGAGGTTGTATATTTCCATCCTCTTTTCTCCACAGAATCTGGAGTCTGGACTATCCCGTCATCTGAAGATGGGGAAAACATAACATTTAAAAATGATTAATTAACAACCCCAAGATTGCGTGGTTGGCCTGGTTGCCATTATTTAGTGGTCCAATTCGAGGCCAATCCGCTAAAGAAAATGAGTCCAATCCGATAAAATTCGATTTCAATGTCCATCATTTAGTAGTGGCCATTCAGCATTAAATTAGGGGGCCCAGGTGTATCTCATCTGATGTCTGCGGATGACTGTCTGCTTCTTCTGGAGGCTAACCTGGATGCTTGCCATGAAGTTAAAAGCATGCTGGGTAGTTTTTGTATAGCTTCAAGATTGAAAATAAAGCTGGTCCCATATAATTGGGAGTTCTCTAGAAACAACATAAGCTATGGCATTAACATAATAGAATGGCGAAACAAGATTTATATAACTGGCCCCATATGGTTGGGAGAAGGCTTAGATGATGATGATGATGATAGTGGTGGTGGTGATTCAAAGGCATTCAATAGAGGCAACTTGATTATAGGTTTATCAGAATTGTTTTAATCCTTTAGAAAAAAATATCAAATATGTGGATTTAGTAACTAATCACTGCATGTTAGCATTTACTTACAAGATAAATCATAGAAGTGAGAGTTGAAAATGGATAATTGTACTCCTATTTATTGAAAGTTTTAGGGTCCGTTTGGTTTGCAGTCAGAACCGGAATCAAAACCTTTCGGAATCAGAATTGTAATGGCTATTCCCTCAAATGGGGGAATGCCATTCCAGCAGGAATGGGAATGGGATTCTGATTCCACTCAACCAAATGGGGTCTTAGTATATTTATTTATTTTTTTATGTTGTGATAAATTTATATAATAAACTTACAATTTATGATTCAGTTCAATTCAACACTCTCTTGATGTGGGATATGCAAATAATTTTCATATTTAATTCATGACCCACTAGTTCAGATGGTCGCTCAGCCTCACTCAAATAAAGAGGCTCGAGATCAAATGTAGAGATCAACAATTGGCTAGAAAACTGCTTATGGAATGGTCTAGAAACAAAATCTTACGTCTGTTTTGTCCGAACAACATAATTCCTCCAACATTAACAGAACACGCTTTTACAGTAATGTTTACCCTTTCCAAGCCTACTTATTTTTCTTAATTATTGTTATTTTTTAATATTTACTCGATTTCATCCTAATTAATTGACCATTTGACTTGCAAAACTGTTCTTTTGGCTTGCAATACTTCACTAAATGGAAATAATAATAATCTGACATTCAAGTGTTGAAACACCAAATAAGAAGAACCCACAAATCTTGGCACAACGATTGGGTTGCTCCATTGTGACCAGAGTTCAAATCTTATAAACAATCTTTGTGTGCAGGGGGTAAAGGTGCATGCATCTATCTCTCCACAGACCCCACATTGGTGGGAGCCTCATGTACTGGGCTGCCCTATTTAGAACTTGCAAATAATATTTTA